ACCCCCATGGTCCAGCAGCCCCAGCCTACCGGCTCTGCCCCTGCCTGCTCTGGTGCTGGTTGCGGTGCTACCACCGCTCCCGCCTGCTCCGGCGCTGACTGCGCTGCCACTGCTTCCGTTGGCACCCCCATGGTCCAGCAGCCCCAGCCCACCGGCTCCGCCCCCGGCCCCGTCAGCTCCGTCGTCGGCCTGACGAGCAGCCCTGCCCCTAGCGCGCCCGCCGCCTCCTCCACTGGCTGCACCGGTGCCGGCTGCGCCGTCTCTTCCGCCCCTGCGCCCAGCTCTGCTGGCTGCAATGGCTCCGACTGCCCCGCTCCCGCTGTCAGCACCGCTGGCTGCAACGGCTCCGACTGCCCGGCCCCCAGCTCCTCGGCCATCAGCTGCACCGGTGCCTCCTGCCCCGTCCCCTGCAACGGCGCCGACTGCGTCGTCAGCTCCGCCACCTCCGCGACCACGGAGGCCCACTCCTTCACCTTCGCGTACTCGTCGGGCACAGTGACGCCGACGCCGACGCCCGCCAGCGCTACCCCCTCGCCGCCTGTGTGGACGGGTGCGGCCGGCCGCGTCGAGGTTGCTGGTGGCTTTGTGGCGGTTGCTGCTGCCGCTGTGTTGTTTGTCTAAGCCTGCCCTGCCTGTATTTGAGGCTTGGTGGTGGTTGTGTGATATGAAGGGGAAGAGGAAGAAGTAGGAGGATGAAGGAAAGAGGGGAGAGTTGTGGTGTGGTGGGTTGTGGTTGTAATTGTTTAAGGTGGTTAATACCTACATATATCTAGTGAGTGTTTGGATTGCATTGCATTGCATTGGTGGGATTGGTTTCGCTTTTTTATTGTAGATATTTATAGATCATCGATCGGGTATGCGCAAGCGTGCTGGATAGAGAGATATATTATACATGCACCTTGTAGAGAATACACGGTGTGGTTTTGAATGCTTGCTTGGTTTGCTTGCTTAGGGGTGCTTGTGGATTTTTGTGTTTGTGCGGTGAGTGTTCGCCTTTTTCTTTCTTTCTTTCTTTCTTTCTTTCTTTC